AGTTCGACAAAACTCTCCTTCCATGGAATTCATCAGAATTCTTCCGACGACCAGCAAGCATACAGGCACGCTCAGAGATGCGACGGAGCTCCTCCAGTTCCACTCTCCGGCACTCCTCCGCCCCAGCAATCCCCATTTCGATCTGTTGAAGTTGAAACAGAGTGGAAACTGATCGCGCAGAATCTTGGAAGCAATGAGTCAGAGAGGAGTGGTGATTATTTATATCTCAGATCCGTTCGCGACTTAGTTCCCTCTCACGAAAAGAACGTTTTCACAGGAATCTCCGCTCCTCCGAAATGAACAACAGGACGCCCGCAATAAACAAACATTAAATTATTTAATTTTTTATTTAAAAAACTCAATTCTAAATTGAAACGTGGCACTTTTATATCAATTCCTCAACTAATTTTATTTTAAAAAAAACTCCACGAAATCCCTAATTTAATATATATATCGAGATTTGTACAAAATTAAATTTAGTTAATGACCAAAATAACAATTTGAATAATTGAGTATGTTTCAAAATTATATTTTACAATTTTACAATTATTTCAATATTTTTGCTTCGTACCAATGATTTTTGTCGATTTATTAAAAAGATGACATAAATGTTGATGGGACATCTAATAAATTAGTAGCAGTGGTGACGCTATAGCTTAATAATGATGAATCGATGAATCGTTAAAATATAGGTTATATCGACAATATACTCGTAAAGCTTCAATAAGTGGTAATTAAGGGATTAACATTATATTTATTATTATTATTTTAGAAGTATATTTGAAATCGACCACATAAATTATTGTTTTTTTTTTATTATTACTCCTCAATTTTTTAAGGGTTAATATTAAATTTAAAAAATTTACATCCATGCAATTTGATTTAAATAATTAATCTTGGGTAGTTGGAAAAATTAGGTCTTTTTTTTCTCTCTCTACCTACTTTCATGTTCTCTCTCCTCACCTATCAACCTGCGTTTGATGTATGAGCTTGCGTTTTTACGCGGATAAAATTTATAAGCCTAAATTAATAAAAATACTTTCAAACTTTTAATTTTTTTTTTTTAAAAATAAAAGTTTTTTTTTTTTTTTAATAGAAGTAGGCAGTTTCAAAACTACCTTTCAACTAAAACTTCTTTTAAAAAATAATCTCTTGAGATTAATATTTTATTAAAATAATTTTGAAATTTTAAAAGTAATATTAACCCTTTTTTAATTTTATAAAAAAATATTCAATTTTTTTTACTATAAATTATAGACGAAAAGTACACATCTCATATATTATATTCAAACTTTTTAATATTACTTTAGAAAATTTGCCACTATTTGAAATTAAGTATTATCTAAAATTTGTTTTAAAAAATTTAAAATATTTCAAGTTTTTTAAAAAAAAAGTTAAGATATTCACTGTGTTGAGGATTACTGTGAAGAGTCGTGATTCATAACATGGTATAGAGCCATGTCCTAAATTTAGTCATATCAATAGGATCCTCAAATATCGAACAAAGAATTGTGAACCTCAAAAGTGTAGTCAAAAGTGACTAAAATGTCGAATAAAAGATGCACTTTGTTTGAGGGCTCTAGAGAGAGGAGTTGAGCCTCGATTAAAGAGAGGCTATTCGAGAGCTCCATAAGCTTAAGGGGAGGTTTATAGAGTATTTTGTTCTATGGCAAGATTGTTGAAGATTATTGGAAGTGAGTCAAAATTGGTTAATTTAGTGGAAGATCATGAGTTTAAAACTATCTGCATTGATATGAGGTTTTTTTTGGGAAAGCCCAAAACAAAACCACGAGAACTGATGCTCAAAGTGGACAATATCATATCATTGTGGAGAGCTATGATTTCTCTGAATATATCAACGGAATCTACATCCTCTCTTACCATTCGATTTAGGATAAAAAGGTGGTCGATAAGGACCACGTAAATAAATAAATATAAATTCACAGTTACCCACTTGATAAGTATATAGATAATAATAATTAATATCAATAATAAAATTATATTTTAATTCTTTTAATTCGTATAACTTTGGCTTAGGTGTTTATTGTTTATAAATAGGAAATAAATTGTATTATTATCAAACCGCAATAAATGTTTTATTTTTAACTATTAATTTTAATTGGACTAAAAGCATTTCCCCCGTCATTATTAGCGCGGGGAAAGAAAAGAACGTCACCAAGCAAATGTTAGGTACGTGGAAGTCCATAACACCAATACCAACCCATTATTTTTGTCCCCTACCATCTACCATCTAACGGGTTAGGTGGAGTTTCATATCGTGTTTCGAATTATATCGAGTTGATAAAATTATTTAGATCAAAGTTTGGGTCAACGTCATTACACATCACTAACACGAGTTACGAATGTTAAATTCTTAACTCTTTTTTAAAAAAGTAAGATAAGGTTGGGTTGAGTTGTAACTCTATTTTCGGGTTAGTTAGGTTGACTTAACAAAAAAAAAATGTCAATCTGCAAATCAAACTAAAGTTTTGGTCTTCAAAAAAATTCAACCCAACTAAAAAAACTAATCCGGTTTGGGTTGAATAGTTTGACTTAATAAGGTTATGGGTCGTGAGAATACTCATAATTTTGACAAAGTAATGTAGTTGACCCGAACAATGAATTTGTGATTTAAAGGAAGAGGAAGCCCCGATAAAGTAACGTACGTGACTTCAATTCATAGGGTAATTTGGCTCGTGAATTTATATTTTGACTTTGGTATAATAGAATTGTAAACTAATATATTTATTGAGAATTTTAAATGTTGACGAGTCCAATTAAAATTGGAATTAGTTGACCACGAAAATAGGCCGTCATTTTTGAAGAGGGATAAGAAAATTATTATTATTAGTTAATAAAAGAGATTTTCCATATTTTTTAAAGGGAAAAAAACAATTAATAAAAGAGAATTAAAAGTTATTAAAAAAATATCTATTTTAATCATTATACTTTTAAATGTCCAATTTTATACCATGATTAAAACTTAAAATATATTTAAAGTAATAAATAAGATAAAATCTAATTAAAATATAAAAAAGGAAATTTAAAAATTGAATAAAATATTAAGATTTGAAAAATAAAAAAAAATCAAATATGGCCGCTAGAGAAATTAAAAGAAATAATATTTATATTATATTATATATATATATATATATATATATAGCCAATCACCGATGGCCAACCCTACTTGAAAATAATCAAATAATTCATTAAAAAGAAAAAAACAAATAGAAGGTCAAACTTAATTCTAATAAATATATATATAATATATATATATATATATATATATATATATATAATAGTAGTAATTTAATAAAAATATCATAAAATACTCAAAAATCACTTTTATGACACATGACCTCCCTTCATAGTCTTGTAGCTCTTGTGTTATCGACACAAGTCATACAAGATTCATATCATGTAGAGCACGACCCTAGTGGAATACATAAAGTAGTATATGACTCTCTTTTGTGTTTTCATAACATGTAGGACACGGTCCTAATAGATCACATCATATACATGCAAGGACTGACCCTCACGTGTGTATCATAATATGTACAGTTGCACGTGCATGTGAACTTTTTCTATTTTCTATAATCATCTAAACAGGTTAAATTTAATAGTTTTCGTGTTTAAATTAATGCAATAAATTTTAATTTTAATTTTGACATCATAATCAAAATTTTAATTTTAAAAGGAAAGGAAAAAGGAGAAACACCATTGTCTTACATTTAATGTAGAATGCCCACCTTTAAAATTATTAAATCTATTAATAACTTCAATAAATTTTAGCTGAAAGTGATTTACATTATTTTATGAATTTTTTTCAAGTATGAAAAAAAATATACATAAAAAGAAGCAGTCGAGAGGAATCCCATTTGAACACGTGGATTTAAATTCGTTAGACCAAAGAAAATACGAATTTAATAAATAGTTCAGTGAAGTTAGGTAAGATGAATAATTTCTTTTAAATGAAGGGCAGATGGGAAGTTGTAACATGACCACTAAGATAATTTTAAAAAAAATGTTAAATTGTCGCTTGTCACTTTTTTTCAAAAATATAAATTTTTAAAAGTTTCTATAATAATCTTAATTTTAAAAAATAATTATTCTTATAATTCGTTGCGATTCAAAAATACATTTGAATTTTAAAATATGTCCACAAACTTTAATTTTTTTTTAATTAAGATCCTTAAATTTAAAAAAAAAAATTAAGAAGTATTACATGTTTCAAAACTTAGAATGAAAATAGGACCAAATCTATCGTTATAAATATAATAAAAAAAACATTATATGGATATAATAAATTATATAAAGTACCACATGGTAGGTTATGATAAACCGAAGTTTGAAGGTAGGTGAAAAATTTTAATCATGAAAACTAATGTTTCGTACTCGTTTTATTAATTTTATTATTTTTTAAACCAAACCATTCCGAAAAATGTCAAAACATTATAATAAAACTAATTTAATTTGTACAAACTTATTCTTGTTGACAAAAAGAAAGACAACCATGGCCTTCTAATAGTTGTTGAGCGATGGTAAGGCATATCAACAAAATTTACCAAAATTTGAAGAAAAAATTGTGTATAATTGGTCTCATTTTGTGCTGAAACTATATATTTTAATTGTTACACTTTTGTATTTTAATAGTATTCATATTCTAAGAACTCGGTAGTTTAAAGTTCAATTAGACACAAAGTGAGCCACTTTACCTATATAATTTTCATAATAACGACTAATTCGTTACAAATTATAAAGAACATCCAAGTATACAACAAAGTACATCCAAGTTCTTCTCCCTTGTTTCAAATTTTCAGGGACATAATAACAAAATCCCAACTTTATACATTTCTGTTAGTTTTATAATATTACTATACTTTATTAGACTTAAAATTAGAATCTTATTTGGATCCATATAATTTGGTAAGAACTTCCCCAAACTGAAGCTAAACACAAACGAATAATTTTAACCTACTAAATGAAAGTAGGTAGGAAACTAAACTGTGAAAAGGAAATTTACCCAAATTCTTAATTTCCACTTTCTTTCCAATACACATGTTACACACATATTGTGTTTTATTTTGAATTTAAGGTGAATGAAATCATGAACCTACCAAGAAATGGGAAATCCTTGGTCAAAATCTTGAATTATTTGCTTCCTGCTTACTGTGGGTTACTAGAAAATGCATGAGAAAAGAAGATTCCTTACCTGGTACAGCAGCAAAGCAATTCTTAAGACCTAACTTTGAAAAATATAACTAAATCCTCCCTCTTTCTCTCTCTCCAGGCAGCTAAAAGTTCCATCTTAGTTTAATTAAATTCTTCATGGGAACAATTTTTCCAATGTAAATGTAGTAGAGATCAAATTAAAACCAAACACAAACGGTTAGCTTTGCCTAACAAAAAACAGTCCAATGACTGCAATTTCCAAGCTTATATTTGAACGCTTGGAAATTGAGACCAGCCGCCCTCAGCTGATTGCTCATACCCTCCTCAATATCAATTTATGCATCTTTATATACGTCGTCTCCTAGTTCATCTCATTCCACTGTCATTTAGTTCATCAGTGTGTGAGAGATGAATCCCAGAAGCTATGCTTCTACTTCTTGGCCTTTCATAGCCTTTGTTTATGCAGTTACTATCAGTGAATTTGTGATTGTGAGTGAGAGCTCATATTCCACATCTTATGAAGATCGCTTCATGAGACGCCTTGATCCATCTCGTCTGCACAATTATCAGTACAATGGCCTCTCTTCTGCATCTCCTTCTCACACTTATCCTTCTCAATCTCATCTCACGGTAATTCTCTCTCTCTCTCTTTCTAAACTCTACATTAGAACTGGCTTTGATTGGATTGAAACTGTCTAACCATATGATCAACCATGAAGCCACTATCGGGATCGCGTGTTTATCACGTGGTTGCCTATGGAGCTGATCCTACTGGGGAATCTGACAGCACCGAGGCGATAGAGAAAGCCATCTCTGATGCATTTCGGTATCCCACGGATGCTCACTTGATGAAAGGCATTTTAGACCTAGGAGGTTCTCAAATTCACCTAGATGGAGGGACTTACAAGATCAGTCGCCCCTTGCGCTTACCAGACATAGCGGCTGGCAATTTCATGGTACCTATTATATGATACTACACCCCCTCTCTTCTCAACTGCCTATGATACAATATACTAAGAATACGTTTACATGTGGACAGATACATGGAGGATCACTACGCGCATCGGATTCTTTTCCAAGTGATGGCCATCTAATAGAATTAAGGTCGTCGTCACCCTCTGTAATGTATGAATATATCACACTCAAGGACTTGATGTTAAACTGCAATTTCAGAGGAGGTGGGATAGCCATTGTCAACTCACTGAGAACTACAGTAGATAACTGCTACATATCACACTTCATGAGCGAGGGGATAGTAATTGAAGGTGGGCATGAAAGTTACATAAGAAACTCATTCATTGGGCAGCACATCAACATGGGTGGAGACCGAGGTGAAAAGGACTTCTCAGGGATTGGAGTGAAAATGATCGGAAATGACAATGTGTTGAGGGACATAGTAATATACTCGGCAGAGATTGGAGTGATGGTGTTGGGACAAGCTAATGTGTTAATGGGAGTACATTGCTACAACAAGGCGAGGGGATTGGGTGGGATCGGAATTTACGTGGGGTCACCTGGTTTTACACAAACAAGGATAGTGAATTGCTACTTGGATTACACAGGAGTGGTGGTGGAGGACCCAGTTCAAGTGCATATAACAGGATGCTTCTTCTTAGGGAATGCATTGGTTGTACTGAAATCGATAGGGGGAGTAATAAGTGGACTGAATATTGTGGATAACATGTTCTCGGGAGATTATACAGGGGTGAGAATAGTTGAGTTGGATGAATCCAAGACTCCCTTCACTAGAATTGATCAAGTGGTGGTAGATAGAAATAATGTTCGTGGGATGGTGGTTAAAACGACGGTGGGAAGAGGATCCACAAGGGCAAATGGAACGACTTGGACGGTTGATTTCTCAAGCCTATTGTTATTTCGTAACCTCATAAAAAATGTAGGGTACTCATTGGAGATGGAGCAGACTCAGGGTCAGGGTCAGGGTCAAGGTCAAGTTCAGGTATTTCCAAACCATGCCTTAACTAATGTATCGCACAACCGAGTAACTGTCCAGTCGAATGTGGCAGTAGCAGCTACGTTACATGTTCAAGTACACCAAACAACCTATGCTTCGTGATACATACTATTTTAATTAGTTTTCTGGCCTCACATAAAATCGAAATGAAAGCTTAATTCATTGTTTCTTGGTTCATCAATTGATGTATAGTATACTAGTAAAGTAAAAGAAACGTCTTCAGTGTATTCAGTTATTGTTGAGAATGAGCACTTCAGTTGTTTTAATATTATATCCTCTTCTCCTAAAGAACAAATACCACAAAATTCTATATTTCAATCTGGAAAAATGAAATGAAGGTTCCCTTTTCCTTCATTCAAGAGAAAATCAGAAAGATGCATGAATTTATTGGCTAAAAAGAAACCACAGGACACAAAATATTAAGTTAGAAATAATTAAAAGAACACACACACAAAAAGGCCATACCTGCATAAAGTCACTCATGCTCACCTCAGCTGACTCTATGTTCATGCCTGTATCGACTTGAAACTTTAACTTGAGCCAAATAATAGCATAGGGGCTTAGATGGGAAAATGATGGGAAAATGATGGGAAATCGAAATCGAAAACGAAAACTACCAAAGATTTGTTCCAGATACTTGATTGACTTATTAATTTCTCCCTGCAAACATGATTTTGTGTAATAGCTGTGCTATTCTACATGTCCACCACAGCAGATAAAGATTGATACCAAATAAAGATTGACTTATTAGGCAAGGAGAACTCACAGCTAGGTGTAGTGTTGGAACAGCCAATTTTTCCACTAATGTCTTCTCTTGCATGTAAGCCAAACTCCTACTTATCTTCTTGCCTTTCATTTACTCCCACATCCGTTACCTGCATCATCCTGAATCTGCTGGCAAAAAGTTGAAACACAGAGCATTACTTCATCCAAATCAAGAACAAAATTAGTCAGAGCATGAAGTAGGCAGCATGCCGCTGCTTTCTAAAGAAAGTTACATACGAGGGCACCCTGACTTTTCAAATCATTGAGGTTGGAATTCCAGGCATTCACTCCACGAATATACTCTTGCATGGCATCAAAAGCAAATATTCAGGGCATGGTCAAGTAAGAAAGGATGCATGAGTATAAAATTGAATTTTTGTCTGAATTAATGCTAGTAAAAGAGAAATGTGAACTTGACGATCCCAATATAAATTTAATTGATACATATCTCGTTCCTCGGGATTAATCTGATATTCCTTCATAGGTAGAACTTGGAAAACGGGGCAAGTTCAAGTGTGTGCCAAGCAATTCCCAACACCCATTGAGAACTTCACGTAATAAAATAGGCATAATCGGCTCCTCGAGTCCTTCTGGACGGGCCAATTTCATTATATGAAGGCATGATTCTCCAGCCAAGTATGGCATTCACTATCCCAAGGTTGTGACCAGGAGAACTGTGCAATTGACAACCAAAGGAGCGTGCATTACGTCGGATAAAACTTCGAAATCCTACAACTAACGACCAGGAATCGAATGGAATTGAATCAATTGATTAGAGTAATGGTCAATCTGGAAGGAATGGTTTGAACATGCGCGTTTATATATAAATAACTACAAATTAATCAACTAATGATGTAGGAAGCAAACAAATTAATCCCAAGCGACGTATGTTAGCTGATTCCTAACGCTCATTTCTTTCATTTATTGTTTCTGTCCTAAATGTGAAAAGTTCTATTTCGAATGAATTTATCTACCATCTTTGATAATAAAACATCGCATTATCAACCATTCATCTGGCACGTCCGGAATCTAAAAATTAAGGTAAGAGAATGAAAATGAACATAAAAATACACCCCGATTCCATATAAAAAAAAGTTGCAAGCTCAACAGAACAACAAAGCAGGGGGAAATTTTGAGAAAACAAGTAGCGGAGATTGAACTAGCTGAAATCCATACTGAAACTTGATCAGAAACTCAAAGATTAACGAACCTCAGTATCTCCAGCGATGAAGATATCAGAACCGAATCCAAATCAACAGAAATGACACAGATTCATCAGGTAATCAATCTGGAATGTAGCAAGACGACGGAAACGATCTCCTTGTTTCTCACAAAATACAGTAGCAAAGTGCAGGATTCAAGCTGTTCAAAGAACGCGATTAACTGTCCACGGAACCCGATTGCAAACGAGAAACCAAAAATTTTCTTATTCGTTACAGAGTTGAGGGATGAACTTCGAATAAGAACCGACGTTTCCGTGAAATGGGGAGTAAAGCTGCGAGAGAAAAGGAAAGTGGGGTCCATGCGCGATATTTTGGACCTCGAGTTAATCGGAAGAGATATCGGTAATTTATCGCGTTTTTTAAGGGTCAACTTTTTAAATTACTTTTAAGCGTATTAATACAATATTTTAAATGAGATATTATATTAAAAGTAAAATATCTTTGTTTTTTTCTGAAAGTTTAAAAATATTATTTAAAAATTTAACGTTTATATTATTTAAAAAAAAAAACAAAAAAACAAAACAAATTTGATAATTATTTTTAATAAATTAACTAATTTTTTAGAGACTAAAATCAACCCGTATATAAACTATAAACAAAAATAAAAAATCTATCTGTAAATTTTGATTACACGTTTCCCTTATATAAGGCACGCTTTAAATAAAATATATTAAAATGGATACATAGAATTGACAAGCACAACATGCCATTGTTATAGGATTCTACAATTTTGAGATAATTAAATGCTCTTATAATTATAATAATATATCAAACCCGGGAACCAAATCATTATTTTTTTAATTTAATTTTATTTTTTAAAAGTGTATAAAAACGGTCAAAATTACTGACAATGAGTTCACATTAGTTAATTTAGTGGAAGAAGCGAGGAATACTATTATGAGACCTTTTGAAAAGTAGAAACTAAAACGACAAAGGTGAACAAAATTATACCATGGAGTCACAATTCTAACAAAAAAAAAAAAAAAATCTAGAAAATAGAGCAACCCCGTAAGAATCCATATATATATTCTTGTTTAAAATCTTTTTTTAATTAAAAATAGTTAATTAATTCTTTGACGGCTTATTCTTGATTCTGGCTTTACAAAAGTAAAAAGCTTTGGTGGAGAATCTTAACGTGTTTAAGCTTTTTTTACTAAATCTAATTATTTATTAATTTATGTAAAATCACCTTTCTATTTTTTATTTTTTTATTCTGTTAAAATTTTGGTAAAATACTTTAGATTAAACAAAATCGTTTTTAAATTAACACATATAAAGTCTTTGAAAATTATATTACTATTGTCATGTTGGTCACAACAATTTAATATTAATTTATCAAATACCATATTATATTTTTTTTAGATTCAAAATTTACCATAATTATTTAATTAAAAATATAATAAAAATTGAAAAGAAAATTCATCCGAATTTGTAATAAATAAAGGAAAGCACTCCGACGTCGAAAAGAAGCCCACGTGTTTCTTCCGTTATGGGCGTCCGACGTGTTCGTGAAGTAAAGGGGAAGGATCTCGGACACGGTTTGACACGTGTCAACCCCTTATTTTATTCTTTTTATTTTCCCCTTCTAGATTTCTCAAATATTCTTATATCTCGTCCGTACAAAATCAACTACCGTTTTACAGCCGTTGGATGAGTGTATGATGAAAACAAAACAATTTTTAAATCTGCATTTAAGATTACACTCGTCCTCTTTTCGTAAAGTTGCAAATTCACACGCTTGACAGGTGTAAATGTTTAATAATCAATTTAAATGTTTTTTTTTCATACTATTTTTATTTTGTTTTTATTAGTAAAAAAAAAAGTACTGAAATTACTCTGTAATATAGAATATAAAATAATATATTAATGGGTCAAATATTAATGAAAAAAATAATACAATTTTTTTTAATGTTATTTAATAAATTCATAAAATTTTCAATTTGTTTTATGGATTAATACAATATTCTTTTAAATTGTTTATTAAAAAAACTTAATTCTTTTTTTTTTCTTTTGTAGATTAAATAAATTCGTTTATTTCCAAAAAAAAAAATATGTCGTTTTCATTTGGATATGGATGATAAAAAAAAATTTGTCGAATCTCCTTAAATTTAGTTTGGTTTTACTTTCTACCAACCTAATTAAATCTATCTATTAAATTTATTTGGAAAAAAAAAAGAGTTTTAAAAATATTAAAGCAATATGTGGATAATTTAAAATATCAAATAATTTTAATGACTTTACCTATTAAATTTATATATAATTTAAATTGCGAGTTTAATCTTATTTTAATTTTGTATTTAAATACTTTTTTTTCCATATATATTATATATAAACGACTCGATTCCTTTTTCTCATTCCCAAACTCGACACTCTACATTAGTCATCACAAACAAACTCTGAAAGAAGAAACGCCATGTCTCTGCAAATGCTAGAAGAAGATTTCGGAATGTGTCCGAGCTTCAATAGTTACTCCAGCGGAGCAACCGCAGATGCCGCCAGAAGAGCCGGCGGCGAGTTCTCAAGCGGCTGTTCTTCATTCGATTTCGATCGATTGCCGTCGCTGAAGAAAGCAGAGGATCAGGCAGATGACGATGATTTTGAATTCGTCTCGCTCCAGAAATCTGGTGATTCTGATATATTTCGCGGCGGTTTGATCGCTCCTGCGTTTCCGGTTTTCGATTCCGAGCTTCTGTTTGAGGAACGTCAGGTTGAAAGAGCGGAAATCGACGGTCGAGATTCGGCTATCGTGCAGCCGATTCAAATTCCTTTGGAGAAGCTTCTAATTAGAGATCGAGATAACGATCCGCTGTCTTCTTCGTCGTCGTCATCGTCAGCGGACGAATTGGAAGGAGTTCCGTCTGGAACGTACTGCGTTTGGAAACCTAAATCCGTCGGAACGCCAAATCTGGCTTGCAAGAAGAGCCGGTCCACTGGATCATCGTCGACAAAGCGTTGGGGAATCCTAGACCTCTTACGTAGAAGCCACAGCAGTGGAAATCACACATATGTCTCCTTCACTTCGTCGACGAGTTTATACTCAACTAAGAAGGCAAAAGAAATCAAGTCAGAGACAAAATCGGCGAAGGAATTGAAGGAGAAGATATATTACTCCAGCGAGGCGCGTATCGGCAACAAATCGAGAGGCCAGAGACCCGGCGGAGATCACAAGAAGAATATCTCTGCACACGAATCGTTCTACGTGAGGAATCGTACATTGAAAGAAGAAGGTAAGAGAAAATCGTATCTTCCTTACAAGTTACAAGCCGGAATTGGTTGGTTGTTGGATTAACGTCATTGGATAGGGCAGAGCCAGTTGGTTATGGAGCATTTAATTTTTGCAATTGCAAAAGCTCTGATCATGAGTGGTTCATTCGCATCACTGTACATCAAAACGTTCATGTTTACAGTTTAGATATGCAAAAATGAAAAAGAAAGATGATTGATGAACAAGTTTTTCCAGGCATCTTTGATCATATAAAATGTTTAGTCTATGAATATGTATACAAAGAGATGGTTATTCAATTAGGATTTGGGATTCCATGAGAGAATTTTGGTAGAAGTTCACTTAAATTTTCGCTTAAGATTACCATTTTAGTTGCTGTTTAAGAAATTGTTTGTGTATTCAAAACAATACACCAAATTAATTTCCAACGCGCATTGAACATCTTACCAAACAAAGTAATTTACATTAGAAAAGTTATTGGAACTTTTCTTTTTATTCCAAAAAGTTTGTGTCAACTTTAATCAAATTGTTTTTGTCTTTTTTGTAAGTCCTTTAATTTTTAATTTTTAATTTTTAATTTTTAATTTTATATTTAAAATAATAAACTCTTTTTAAGTCAAGTGGAGTGGAAGATAGAAGCTGGGAGAATATAATAATTAATAAATTTATGGGTTGATTTTGATGGCAAAACTTACCCTTACTTTGACTATTCTCTTTCGATCCATAAATATTCTAAACAATTTTCACGTTTTAGGTTATTAAAGAAAGAATTGATTCTATCTCCAAAACAATTTTCACGTTTTAGGTTATTAAAGAATGATTTGATTCTATCTCGAAAATAAAAATGGTAAACACGTCCAAGATTATTTATAGCTTAATTGATGTGACATGTACGTCGGATTTAGTTATCAAAGGTGGAGTGATAGATGTTTTAAAGTCTGATAGAGAACTACTTGCTATGCAAATACGTTTAATATTCGTGTAGTGTTAGTTAACATCTCAATTCTTTTAATTACCTTATCTACATATTTTTTAGAATTTTACTAATTAATCATCGTTGGTTAACTAGACGTATTGCTCAAATCAGTTTGAGGGTGGAGCGGGGACAGAAAATATAATCCACTCCCTTGTTTCCATTTACTATAAATTTCTTTCCACTTCTCTTTGTTTTCTGTTTAAACGGAGATTCTTTACCCCATTTGAAATGAGTATCCCTCGGTTAAATGAATATCTCTAATTATCGAATTCAGCCTCGAACATCTAATCACGTAAACTCTTAATTCTTATTAAGAATATATAATGTCTTAATAAATATATCTTTAATTAGTTAAACGCACTACTAATTTTAGGTAGATATAGACGGTATGATGCATAAAATATTTCAAACCCAAATTCTATAAGGTAATGTAATATGTGCATTTATATATATAGTTTTCCAATTAAATTATTAATAAAACATTAATTATTGTTTAAAAGCTAATTACTTCAATTAAAAACGTCATAATTAAATGAATTAAATAGAAAATAAATAGTTTTATTTTATTATTACAATTAATTAAATCTTTATTGAAAATATAAAGGATTTTTTTCCCAAATGCATGCCCCGACCTAATTTCCAAATTAAATAATACCCCATATTATAATTTTTTCTTTTTGCAGCAAGAGAATAAAGAATGCATCCCAATCTCATAGATCTTCTATCATAAATGGAATTTAAAATTAAATTGAATTGACACAGTTGGTAGAGTGATTAAATTCCTATATATATATATAAAGACGAAAATGTATGTGAAAGATAATATCTTTATTGATATTATGAAAACCAAAACTAAAATAACGAGGACGTATATCAGAAATGAATAATATCATATAATTGTAGAGACATGTAAGTGTTCCACTAAAATTTAATGTTTTTCAAAATTAACCAAGACAGCTATTAATTAGCCGAGTGTTAAGCCCACCCGTCTTTAGTTTGGTAAATTGGGCAAAAATATATAAATACACGAATACTATATGGAGATAGTCTTCTTTTCATTTTTGTTCCATATTTGAGAATTCTATTGACATAGCTAAATTTAGGGCATGATTCTAATACCATACAATAGTATAATATTGTTGACTTTGAACATAAACTCATGATTTTCACTAAATTAATCAAGGTGGGACTCACTTCCGATAATCCTCAATATTCAACACTAAGAAAGAATCTTTAACAACAAAAATGTAACTGTTTATGCATTCAAAAGATTAGAAACGTCATGACTTAATAAACCCTGAAATTATGATTTTGGTAAGTTGGATCAACTTGTAATATCTAAAAATTCAACTAAACACTTTCCATACATAAAAAAGCATAATGATGCCTAATTCGTCTTGTATCAAATAATGATGAACACGAAATTAACGGTTGGAAATTACTACGGACTTAAAACTCCTTAATTTGGTGATTGGACTCTCCATGAATCACATACCGTTAATTTTGTTCACAAATCAAACCACGACACGTGTATTTTATCAGAATTTGACAGTTTCTTAATTCGGTCAGTCGGTCGGGAAATGCTGTAGGCGCATTTGGCCTTTTCCGTTGTCAAATAAAATCTGGCGGGAAATTTTGTTTATCTACTTCTCGAAATCAACGTTATAGTGTGAAACCATTTAAGACAGTCCACGTGTCCGTACGTTGTTCCAAATGACGTATGTGCCCCTTCATGGACTGTAAATGGACCGTACGATAGGCACCTTACCCGAATCTCATGGTCGCTCACGCACAGGAATATCATAGAGGAAAACATATTCATGAATAATAAATACCCACGTGTAACCGGACCAACAAAAGTCCACGTGAGCCGTGGGACATTAGATATCCACGTGCAAAGTGATTCTCAAAAAGATTTTAGTCTTAAAATAGTAATTTTTCCGAAAATTTAGCTAAATTATAAAAAATAATAGTAAACTTTCAATTTTATATAAAAAATATAACTTTCAAAATTTTAAATAATACTCTTAACTTTTTTTTTTTTTAAAGTCTAAACATATCGCTACCATTAATATTTTATTGTTTCAACCGTTAGATGAACACACTCTCCACAAGGGTACGATATTGTCTAATTTGAGAATAAGCTCTCGTGTATTTATTTTCGGCTTCCTCAAAAGGACTCACTCCAATGGAGAGAGTTTATAAACCCACAATCATTCCTTGAATTAACTAACGTGGAACTTTCATCATTTAACATCAACCATGTTACAAAAGTACAGAGATAGATTTTTGTGACGGACCAATTTCGTAGGTATGATCCATTAATATCGAAACAAATGGGCCAAATTTGTAATAATAGAGTGAAGGAGAGCATATGAGAAAAACAAAGAATGGCCCATAATTGGTCCATATTACTTCATCGAGTGCGTTCAAGGGCGCCACTTGGCCCCCCACTCGGTCCGACTCATCGAAAACAGTCGAAACTATGTCAAGAAAATGTCGACATTCATCCTATTTCCTCTCTTCGCCATTTTCTGTTCCAACCTCGACGTATCAGTTTCAATATTCTATATCAATGGAACCACCATTCTCTCTCTCTCTACTTACAGACACTGACGAATAAACATCTCCGCCATGGGCGACGGTGCCTTCACCGTCATTCCACCTCCTTCTCGCCGGAGACGGCCACCCTCCGCCGCAATTCTTTGTCCGTGTGAAATTCTCCTCATCGTCGGCGACGGAATTGCCGAATCTCAGAGCGGCGATCGATCGAGTTTTGACGATCGGGCTGCTGCCAGGCCCAATCTACATGGAGTTAGGGCTCTGTTTGTGTGGGCCTAATTAATAAGTTGCGGTTGATTGGGTTTCTCCCAAGGCCCAATTCAAGCCCAATAATATTCCGGCCCATTAGCCAAGGTACGCATCTTTCTAATAGTGATACAAATGGTAGTCAATATTTTATAAGAGTAGGAGTGATTTTCAAAAATTTTAAAATTTCTAATGCTTTATATAAATTTTAAAATTTCATATATGGTTGACTTTTTGGCTTTACTTTTGGTTTCCTCAAAGAGGTCTCGTACTAATGGACATAATATTTCTTACTTATAAATCCACGATCTGAGACTTTTTTCCCAAAAACCGTCAACAGCAGATAGATTATTCTTTGTTCTAATAGTATCCACTCTATGTCTCCGTAATATTAGACGTATTATTATTATTATTATTTTATTTTATTTTACGAGGCGTAGAAAATCGGGAGAGAGTAATGGGGGAATGGGGGAGTGGTTGGATTTTAGGTGGAGGAAGATAAGAGGAGGGATAATGAGAGGATAGAGTTGAGAGAGTGATCCATTTTGTTCTTCAATCTCTCATTTCTTACCCATTCTTTCTTTGTTTCTCACTCACTCAAAGCCTCACATCATTTTGTGGTACATATCCTTTTTGGGATTTCAACATCCTATTTTCAATCTTTTTTTTATCTATATTGTCCTTATCCCTACCCATTTAAAATTTTATCGTAATTAAAATTTTTTTGTAATATAATTTAAAAAAACGAGCTAAATTGATAAAAAAAAAAATTATAAACTTTCGAGAGTTTTAATAATATTCTTAAACTTTCAAAAAAATATATATATATAAAACATATTATTATATTATAGGTTTGACTTTTTATTAAAGAGTTGGGACAAAATGGTCATTTAGGGAGGATGATGTTTTTACCGTCATCTTTTGATATTAAGAAATAACGGTTTTTAACTGCCCACTTTATTCTGGATAAGGATGGCTTTTGTTTTTAAAAATAACCATACAATTTTCAAATTCTATTTTATACTATTTTAAAAAATATATATTATTATGTATTTAATAACACTTTTTGTTTAATAATATAAAATTATTAGTATCATTCTCGAGAGAGATTTGATGTATACGTTGATATTTTATTTGCTGAAATTAATTAAATAAAATTGTATTTTATAGGATATGTGGAAAAAAGGCATCGTAGCTTAGAAAGACAATTATACAATATAATATAAACACAGTCGGATATTTAATTAATTAGATCGTTTTTAATTAAGAGTTGGATATAGTTTCATACCTTAACTTTTGTTAATATTATTTTAGCTCTGGCATGGTTTTGGTTTATTTTGGTTTATTTTTATCTGGGTATTTTCAAAATCTTTATTCTGGTGTTTGTATTTTCAACTTTGGTTCATTTTAGTTCGGGGATATTGAGATGAAATGACGAAAATGCCCTTCCTACACGAAGGGTATGTAGAAGGTAGGAGTATGGTAGGTTGTGAAATGGTTAAGGGGAGAGAGAGAGAGGAATGTGGAACGCCCAAACGTGATCTGGGAAAGAAGAAGCTGTGGTTGATTGTGGGTTCGCTTTCATTATCCAAAAGGGGTTTTAAAAAAGGGAGTGTTTGTATAATAGGGCGAGGGAATAGAGAGTTTAGGGTGGCTTAGCTTAGTGCACAATGGCTTCCATTAACACCTGCCTTCACTCCCTTCGTTCTCTCAACAAACCTTCCTCTTCCTCTCCTTCTTCCTCTTCCAACGTTCGTCCTTGTGTCTCTGCAAAGCTCAACAACCCCTCTCCTTCTGTCCCCAACCTCATCCAAAACAGGCCTGTCTTTGCTGCCCCTTCCCCTCTCATCACCCCCACTTGGGTACGCTCCACCTCCCCTCTATCTATCTCTCTTTTAATAATCGTTCGATGCAGATTCGAATGGTTGCCTCATTTTTACCATTTTAGTGTGGTCTATAATTCATGCATGCCACTCCATTTTAGTGATTTATTATTATTGTTATTAGTGGGTTTAACTAAGTTGGCATGATTTAGTTAGTTAGTTAGTTGAAGAGTTTACTATTTTCCTTATTTATACCAAAAAACAAAACAATTCTGTCCTTTATTCTTTCTTTTTAATTCATTACTTAATTAATAATAATAGGAGAGAGAGTATAAGAGAAAGTACACTTGTCACAATATAAACCACAATTTGTCTTATAGATCTGTCTCTTTCTTTCTTCACCCACCTTCAAATTTCACTTTTTTTTAAGTTAAAAAACACGTGATGTTTTGGATGTTAATTTATTTTAACTACTTAAATTATAGTGAAGTTAATAGGTTTATATATATATATATATATATTTTTTTTTAAAGTTAAAAGGTTTAAATTTTTATATTTTAAAAGTAATAGTGGGTGAAGTGAGAAATGAGGTGGATGTCATTTTCTTTTACTTTTGAACCACATATGCGTGCATGTCACGTGAATTGCTCGTATGAGCCACTGACGAGAACGTGGCAAGTATGAGGACACGTGGCAACATTCAATTCACTGTTCTATTTGTTAAAATGTAACCAATTAAAATGTATCCGACAAGTAACGTGGTGCATGGTTACGTAACGTGTTCCCTTTCACTTAGCTCAGTTCATAAATCTCATTACATAATGCTTATGTTAAATATAGTCTCTCCTTTATAAAAATTAAGTTAGTTGGTCAATTTCAAACCTAGTTAAGCTCTCAAGTCTCGTTTGATAACTATTTTATAAGCAAAAATTATGTTCGTGGAGGAAAGCAATGACTCGGTTATTTTATTTATTTGTTTATTTATTTATGCTCTGCCCATCAAAAATAGAATTTTAAGGACATTTTGTTCTTATATTACCCATTTTTTGGTAATTTCTTGTGGGAATTGAATATTGTAGACAGAAGATATGGGGAATGGTTCATATGAGGAAGCCATTCAAGCTTTGGAGAAGCTCCTCAGGTACCTTTAAAATTGAATATAAATTAAAGTATATATATTTTTTGAAAATTTTTATTTTCTAATTAATGTGTATTTATTTGTGGGTGCAGAGAGAAGGGAGATTTGAAAGCTACAGCAACATCAAAGGTGGAACAGATAACAGCAGAATTGAAGACTCCTGACGGAGGCAAACCACCCTTTGATCCTGTTGAGAGAATCAAATCTGGTTTCATTCACTTCAAGAAGGAGAAATATGAGTAAGCCTTCCGTTTTACGTTCGATTTATGCAATAATACGAACAGTTACCAAACGTTCGATCATAGTTTTCGGAACCGAAAACCATTCACTTTTTTCTTTGTTCTTCAGCAAGAACCCAGAATTGTATGGAGAGCTTGCAAAGGGCCAAAGCCCCAAGGTATCAATCACTTAGTTTTTTCTCATTTCCTTTTTATTGGGACTTTTGATCGGTTCATTCGAGTTGGATTTGATTCGATTTCGTAATGAAAAATGCAGTTTATGGTGTTTGCTTGCTCTGATTCAAGAGTGTGCCCATCACATGTTCTCGATTTCCAACCAGGAGAGGCCTTTGTGGTCAGAAATGTTGCCAATTTGGTTCCTCCATATGATCAGGTTTGGCTCCATTTTGTGTTTGTTTGTGTCCAAATCTGAATCTCTGGCATTTTTTTTTAATAATTCTGTTGCAAACAGAGCAAGTTTTCAGGAACTGGATCTGCCATTGAATATGCTGTTCTGCATCTCAAGGTACATAAACAAACAACTTTAAATTCACCATTTACATGTAGTAAACAGTAAAATTGGTTGATGAATGAATGGTTTTTGTGGTGCAGGTGCAATACATTGTTGTGATTGGTCACAGTGCCTGTGGTGGTATTAAGGGTCTCATGACCTTCCCATTTGATGGAAACTACTCGACGTAAGCCCTCTACTTGTTCACTTCAATATCTCATCGTCAAATTTAGAAGAGAAACTCGTGTTGTTACACTAAAAGAGAACGATTGAAAACTATTTTAAAAGGAAAAGAATAGTTACCCGAACAAGTTTTCGACTGTATTTTTGCTCTGAATGATGGTTTCTTCTGTGATAAACTGACACGAACTCACATTTGTGACTGAAAACACAGTGATTTCATTGAAGAATGGGTGAAAATTGGTTTGCCTGCTAAGGCCAAGGTGAAATCACAGCACGGTGGTGCTGATCTTGGGGAAATGTGTGGACACTGTGAAAAGGTAAAATAAAGCCCTTTTTTTGCACTTCAAAATCAAATATAGAGAAACAAAAAGGAAAGTGAACCAATGGGTTTTCTATTGAAAGTTCATAACATGGTTTTCCAAATGTTTGTAAATGCAGGAAGCAGTTGGTGTATCACTTGGGAACCTGCTAACCTATCCATTTGTTAGGGATGGTTTGGTGAATGGAACTCTTGGACTCAAGGGTGGTCACTACGACTTCGTTAATGGAACTTTCGAGCTCTGGGGGCTTGATTTCAGCTTTACTCCGTCTTTGTCTGTATGAACACCATCTATTATCGGCGGATCGATCTGGTTTTTCTCACTGATTTTCTTCGTATGATGTACTTTCGTTGTGTAATTGTCTTTCCTGGTATATAAGTTCAACAATAAATTTGAAATGGAGTTCATTAGTAACTCCAGTTCTAAAAAGTTACTTTTTCTTGTTTGCCATCTCTTTTATTTGTTTTACTTTTTACCTTTCACCTTTTTACTCTACCAAAATGTTACTCTTTCTTTGTTAGGTAAAGGATGTGGCCACCATTCTGCACTGGAAGCTCTAGGGGCACGTTTAGAAGTCAATCAATCCTGCAAAGATGAAACTTGTTTTAATAATACACTTCTTGGTTATGTTGGAATAAGCCTGTTTTTCCTGAGGACTGAATCTTGCCTTCAATTTCATTGAAATCCATTTCAGATTCACCAAATTCTAAGAGTTCCATTTCATTTCTTCTTTCCTTTTACTGATCCAAATTGCATTGGGAATGTTAGATTTTGAAGAAGAGCATAAGAAAAATGTAACCATGAACACAGCATTCTTATCAGAAAAAGTAAAGATTAAGCACTCTGATAGATACAAATTGTCCTAAGCAGAAGATGATAGAAAAGGGAAAGTAAAATAACTAAGCTTTTGGAGCAGCTTCAAACCTCTATAATGTAGAAAGATCATTAGTTTGATTCATTCCTAATCTTGAGCTCTAAATGTTTAAAACAAAACGACACTCTAGAGTGACGTCTATACTAATCCTAGCTTTTGTTGATTCGATCGAACGAAGGAGTTGAAAATCTAGGCATGATGCTAAATATAATAGGATAGTGATGCATTTTTTCCCCTATAGATATGACCTTGCTTGAACAGATCCTTCAGAAAACTGTCCTTGAAGTCTTTAAGAAGCTTACCAAATGGGATCAAAGCCAAGAACTGAGTTAATAGGATTCTGTAATCTTAGGCTCACAGTTAGAACATATTACAACACATGGGAGTAATGGGCATCCTAGTTCTATGCGAGGAAAAATTCCAAATACTAAACATCTCCAACTTCCTTCAACCTGCTACCGTCTCTTAAATATATACTAAAAATTAAAAGCTCAAGTTAAGTAAGATTCTTTTCATTGCCTCTTTTCCAAAACGATTCGTAATTTTAGGATACGAATTGTTTTGGAATAGGACAAGATCTTCAGAACCGTCTTCAAGAATGATTCTGCATGAGTTTGCTAATTATTTTGTTTTTTTAGTGCAATTTGATCCTAATTTCCTTTTGAGATAAGCTAACATTACAAAGAGTAGCTTTAGCCTCTTGGCACCAATGGTAAATGAAAATAGTTACCAAGCAAAGTTCCCTTCTCCATGGCTATGATTAACTAAGCTTGATGGAGGTATGGTTAAAGTTGACATTGAGATGCTGAGGAACTTAGAGAGAGTGAATTCAAGTCAAGGCAATTACCTACCTAAGATTTAATACCCTATGAGTTTCATAGTCGACAAAATGTCGTAAGGTCCAGCAGTTGCACTGTGAAAATAGTGAAGGTGCATGCAAGCTAACTCAGACACTCACATACAAGGGGAGACGAAACTTGAAACCATGAGATAGGCTAATTAAATCCTGGATCATTATGCATACACGATAAATCCGATAAAGAAAAAGGAAGAGTAGACAGCCACGTGAGTTTTAAGGTATTAAGAGTATGACAATATGCTATTGCTACGCAGAGGTGAAGGGGAAGAGTTTACCTATTTCCCCCTAAAGAAATCAAGTGCTTCAATGGAACGTTCAAAGACAACATTGTATAGTGGATGGATAGGCTCCAGGAGGTTGGAATAGGGGCCTGTTACTGCCCGGGGAACTGGTGGAGAATCTTCCATCGACATGCTATACTGACACAATGAGAGGCCACTCAAGCAATAACACGTGTGGTAGTAGTCTTTTGGCTTCCCAGGTTTGTCTCTTAGTCCGCCCTCCGGTACCTGCATCCAAGGAATGATCAAAATCAAACTGTGCAAATGGGAATACACACAAAGAGAGGCCTTGGACTATCGACGGTTGTTTTCAGATAACAAGATTGTCAATATTTGAAGAAACAAATAATTACTGCAGCAAGCAAAACATAAAATTATTACCAAGTAAATATCTCATTATTGTTTTGAAAACTGCACTATTGAATATTTGACGAATGTCATCTGGAGTGGGAGGACTCAACGAGTACTAGTGCCATTCAATGTTTCATAAAATGATCATCCATCTTCAGAGATGATCAGTCAATTACTTATGATTCTCGAATTAATTTCAAAACTGCAACATTTTGAATATTCTATTGGACATGAACACTACCCATATGAAAATAAGAATTATATGCAAAAGGAAGTCTAACCAATTATCGAGTTAGTAATATGAAATAACTCTATAAGGTGTACCTGTGCACACAGAAGTATGTATTGCTGCAAAGCTAAGCTGTTGAAAAGAGGTTGACTACTTGGACGCTTCTTGATAAATTCATAACCAATATCATTAAAGTTAACCTTTTGAGAAGTACCCGCACCTATTCAGAAGAATATATATCACAAGATTAATTTAGTTAAGAATGAAGTCATAGGTATAAACAAGAAAACAAGTTGTGAATCAAAGCTATGGTGTAAATTTCATACTTCAATCATATGCCAACTCCTAATAAATGTTTATTCTTTGTCAATTTGGGATGTTTTAACAAAATAGCATGAGGCAGATGAACCGTAGCTAAGGTGTAAACTTACCTCTGGATTTTATGCGAATTGACTATTAAGAAATGTCTAGTCTTTATTCATTTGGGAAATTTATGAATGAAGGAAGAAATATTTTTGAAACTGTTTAGTTCCAAATTTGTGTTGCGCTATTTGGCTGGAAGAGGACAAGCTAATTTTTTTCCAAGAAAAAGGTGAGATGTTGTTTTACTTTTAAGATGTCTTATTCTTGAGCATCGTGGTAAAATTTGAAATATATGTGGTTATCTTAAAACAAAAGAAGAAAACCGACGGCATACCGGTAGATAGGCCATCAAAGGAAGAGCCTACTTCTTGAGCATCAGGTTGAACTGATTGTTCATCGATGTCCAAACTTAATCGTTGTAATAGCGAGCAAACACCTCCCTGTTGTCATACATTAGTGAAATGAAAACTCAAGGAACACTGAATCAAACAATCCCGAACCTAACCTGCCAGAAAGAATAGCAGCCATCCACCAACTTATTTGTTCTCCCCTGAAATCCACACTCTAAACCAGCTTGACGAAACACCACCCACTCCTAATGTAAACAGAAGAGAGGTTTCTGTTATGTACCATGTAGCATTGAAGACAAAAGACATGCTCTTGATACAAATGAAGGACAGGATTAGCAATAACAATTAATTTTCCTCAGCAAAGTCTTACAACTAAACTCCGCAAGTCCAATCGGTGAACCTCATTGATCAGAATCATAGTAGCCAGACCACAGAAAGTGTACCTGATCAGGTCGATACATCAATTATGCACACACAAAAAAAAAAGTTATTCATGAGCACATGAAAAGATATTCTTAGTGTTGAGCATTTAAAAACTGGTACCCTCCACTTCCATGATTTGTGGAAGTTCAAATTATATAGTGATTACACAAACAACACAATCATATAATTTTTTGATCATCCCACTGAATGTAGAACTTAGCATCCAACAAGATTAAATGAAGAAAAGCAGAAACATACCCACCATGAGCTTCAGATCCAGGTTCTCCGGCAATACCACCTTCAAAAGTTTGACAACTGCACAGAAACTTAGCAGTAGTTAGTCGCAGATAGTTCAATGAATAGAAAACATTACAGACTCTGATTTAACAAGTCTGCAAGAAACTATATACAGCAGAACACATAGCAGAACTTGTCACTTGTCCATCTCACTCTTTCAACAAGCCAAATTTGGAGATTTTTTTTTATAAAAAAAAAACTGGAATAGCTGCCCAAGCCAAAATAGTAATTTTTATAACTGTGGCAGATTTTCGATAGCTGCTAAAAAAATTTACTTCCATCAGATTTTTGGCTCGTTTAAGGTTTTCAATCGACCACTGTGACTTAGATCCACTGCGCAGAGACAGTCTGCACAAAGTGTAACTCTATATTCAACTTTATCTATCAGTCACGGGCATCCAGTGGGAAACAGCTCCTATGCTCCACAGTTTCATGTCCACAACGTTACTGACTTAGAGTGTCGTGAAAACTGTAGATTTTTATTGTACAGCCAAATTACAACAACCAAAGTTCCCAGTTGCACTTGGTTTCTTTTATATAAGAAATTAACTGGATTGAATAAATGACATTCCAAAAGGGAAGGGAAAAACACCAAAGCTTCATGACATAAAAAAGATTACAAAAAGCTTTTCCACGTGGCATAAATAGAACTTGAACCATAATTACAAAAAGATGTACAAAACTTGCATCAAGAGCAAAAAAAATGAGGTTTTCCAAAGCAAGGGCGATGGCTCTTCTAAACTGAGAAAGACTCCCCAATTTTTTTCAATCCACAAGTGTCAAAAAATTAATGCTCTAGCTAGCTGCTACAGAATCTTCTTTTCCTTCTTAAAAAGATGACCACTGAGAACAAGTGGAGGTGGTCAGGATTTACTCTATTCTTGTTTCTCAGTTGTTCGAAAAAAAAGAGAAAAACTAGAAGTCTACAGGTCCATCACATACCCCACAAACATACACGCATGCAAACACTAATGAGTTCTAGGAACCAACCTTAGAATGTAGTTTCCAACATTTTGAACTAGTTCATCATCCAAGATGTTCAATATACTGGCAACCTGAAAGGCAGAAGTTTTGAGTCATCAAAATCATGGAATATTGTATTTGCAAAGAAAGAAAAAAAAAATTAGAAGGCTGACGTTTCATACATAAGAAAATTGAGAATACACAAAACAATTAACACATTACGCCTGACAATTGACAAATAAAAAACAAAGATCTAAATCCAGTATCTTACCCTGGATTTTCAAGCTTATGTCATTTTATTATTCAAACTTTCAAAATGTTTATTTAGTCCTCGAAGCTGGGTGGTTATCTCCGATATTTTTGTTGTTAATTGTTTAAGCAAGGAAAACATGATTACGAATGTACAACAATATGTTGCCATGGGCATATATCCAAGCCACATAGTCTGGTTGAGGTAGGTGAATAATAGCAATGATCAAAATGCCTTTTTTCAGTTCAAGAACTAAAATAAATATTTGAAAGTTCACCAAAATGGAATAATCCTTAAAGTTAAGGTATAAAGATCCAAATGTGATTTAAACTGGAAAAAGAATAAAAGAAAAGAAAGAAAAATAGCTATTAATGTTACTTGCTGCACTTGTTTCAGTAACTTAAGGGAAAAAATTAACATTGAAACAATAGACATTACCTCATCACAAGAATGAGTCTCTTCCT